AGGATTTGTTCAGGAGCTCCTGTGCACGCTTTTGAAGAGGAGATTATGGAGTTCTTCAGAAATGGAGTTGTGTCATGGATAGTAAAGATCTGACCTGCAATATACAAGGCTCAATGCCAATAAGCATGCAGCGTCAGGAAATGTGAGGACAAACAAAGATGAAAAAAGCAGTAATACAAAGAAAGAGTTTTAATATAAACTATACTGCATAGCATGTGGAAATAAAAATGCAGATCTCCGAAATGCACTACTGTACAGATGCACTGCTGACAGCATCAGTGAAAAAGTCAACACCAAGAAGATATACTAAAAATCATTAGCAACACTTATATTTTGTTATGTTAATATTTTGTATTTTATTGAAATATTTTTATTATGTTTCACTGGTCGTCCTTTTCAACTGATGGTTATCTGGAGTCCTGTTTGGGTTTCTAATCTGCTTTCAGGAAGGCCCAGTCAGGATATGCACACTGCTCCACACTCATCTTCAGGCCAGCGGTCTCTGTCAGGAATGATGTTCACATCCTTGTTGGAGAGGAACGATGGTTTGAGAGAGGAGTGAAGGAGACCATCGTTGTGGAGAGAACCTGTCCATCATTAAACAGGGGTGGAGGCCTCTGTGTTCAACTGTCCCCTCTTACAATGCTGTTATTGCTAGTATCTCTCAGCCCTCTGTGAATAGCAAGCGGCCACCAGGGCACTAAGGATCAGTCTTTAGGCAGGTGGTCCTCCATTTGCATGTGAACAGCTAGTTTAAGCTGTCACCAGCAAACTGGTTGATGAGAAGGTGCTATTTAGAAGTTGGTTGCATGGTCTCAGACTGCAGAAGTATTTTGAATAAAAGAAGAAATGTTTCAACAAAGTAGAATCCTTCCAGAGAACCTGACTCAATTTTTTAAAAATTTCTACCTGGATTATTGAGCATGTATCAGGACAGTTCATTGGTAAGAAAATAAATAGTTCTAGCACGAAAATAATTTATTTTTCAGGAGCCCTGGACCTGGGGTCATCTTTCAAAACTATCTGGAACTAGTTTCTGTGATTTTTATCCTGACCTGAAAATTCTTGATTATTTACATTATTTAATAAGATGACCCACAGTCTTTAGGCTTAACATTTTTTTTTTAATTTTCAACCTTTATTTATACAGGTAAATCCCATTGAGCCTCGAGGACTCATTTACAAGAGAGACCTGATTTCAACAAAGAATGATGAGAACAATGGACAACAGCGACAACAATAAACAGTTATAAAAAGTCATACAGTCATACGGATTTTTTTTTTTTTTTTTTTTTTTTTTTACAAATAGGATGGCTAAAAAAAAGAAAAGTAACAAAAAACAGCTAGATTCTAAGGCAAATGTAGAAAACTAAAAACAGGAACATGTCTGCATTGGTCCCTGCCAGGAGTCCAACAGGTTCTTAAAGCCACTTAGAGAGGTCAAGGTCGAGAGCTTCAAATCTTTTTGCAAGATATTCCAGGAAACAGGAGAAGGTCCTTTTGCCTAGTTCAGTCCTCACTGCGGGAACACTGCAGGTAATAATGTCCTGAGAGCGCACGCTGTAGCTGCACTCACACAAAGACAGGTAGGAGGAGATGTATGAAGGCAACAGACCAATAAGTGATTTAAAGATGAAAATGTACCAGTGAGAGAGTCTGTGTGAAGTTAATGATGTCCAGTTAACCAGTGAATACTGGGTGCAGTGGTGGGTACGATAATCACAGCCAGTTATGAATCTTAGTGCACCATGATAGACAGCATCCAGCATCTGCAGGGTTCTTGTACTTTGTAGGAGCGTTCATGTAAATGAATGATGTAGTTGATGATTTTTGATTTGTGGATTTATTTTGATTTCATTTAATTTAATTTTTTGATTTTATTTTGATTTAATTAATGATTTATTTGTATTTTTAGATAAATGAGAACTAATCTTTGGCAAACTGATTATTGCTTCAACTATCTCTTCGGACTAGTTTTCCTCAAATTCTTATTCTTAGTTATCTTGTGTTATTGATTTTTGATCATGCAATAATTATTCTATTTTTTTATTCATTTACTTTGCATTCACATACTCACACCACAGATAATTTAGAGTTACCATTCAGTCTAACATGCATGCATGTTTTTGGTCTGTGGGAGAAAACCCACACATGCAGAAAGAGAATATGTAAACTCCACTCAGAAAGGTCCCCAGCCAGGATTCGAACCTGCAACCTTCTCGCTGAGAGGCAACAGCTCAACCAAATGAGCCAAAAAGTGACTCAGAAGTGTAAAAAATTAGCCTAGTGCCACAAAAAAGCTCAGTACCTTCCAGTTCTTTTTCCTACAATTTGTCAAAGCCACTGCTTCTAAATCATTAAACATACTGGTCTTTTAAACTTTCCTTTGACATTTGCTGACAGTCCTTTGTCATAAAACCCTCCTAAAACATTTCTCTATCCCCTCCATTTTGCCATGGCTCTCTTCTTGACTTCTTCAACACACTCCTCATTTCCTGGACAGTGGACCCAAAGTACTTGAGGTCCTGCACCTTTGTGACCTCTGCTCTTTGTAGCCTCACTGTTCCACCGGCCTCTCATTTACAAAGGCTTACTTTCATTGCTCTTCTTTCAAGTGCATAAACCACCTCTCCAAGTTCTCTTCCACCTGTTTCACTATCACTGAGTTGTTCTGTGAAAAAGACAAGGACAGGAAGAACTTAAAGAAAAAAATATATAACATAGATCATGTAATTTACAGCATAATGATAAAAAAAAAACTATTTTTTTATGCTGACTGATGTTTTTAAGATTCTCATTTATTTGTCACATAATCCAATGATTCTAAACAAGAGATTAAGATAAAAAACATTGTGGCACGTGGCATTTGGTGATAAAACGTGTGCTGACTGGTTTCATTGAATTGATCGTGATCAACCATTACAGTACGAGTCATTGCAGGTTTAGTTTTCAAGACTGCTTTCTATATTAGGAGCAGAGATAAGAAGTTTAAAACTGTTGTGTTTTAACTTACTCCTAACCCACTCTAAATAATAAAAGTAATACAATATTGTTTTATCTTCTTGAACACTATTACGGAACTGTAATTTTGTTGATATGTTTGGTGCCCAACGTCCAACTTACAAATATTAATAATAGTTTTAGCAAAGCAGAATTTGTTGCTATGCTTGTAGAAGATTATTAATCCAGCTGAAGTGTCATGAGTATCATGTTTTGATTAGTCCCAGGCCACAGTGTTCCTGTGTAATACTTTGTCTGGAGTCAGTACTCATCTGCTCACACAGACTCGTGTTCGTGCTGCTGTTCGGCATATTGTTTTTATGCTTTTTAGTGCTTAGTGTATATTTAGTTAATGTTTTTCCCAGTTCATATTTTAGATCTTATTACTGTTTTTCTTTTACATTTTATTGTTGGATGCAACTGGGACCCTGTGTACATAATTTAAGTCCACCACCACATGTGGTGCGAATGACAAATAAAGACACTCTGACAGAATACCCGCTAATATTCTGAACTCATGCTTATGTGTGAAAACAATGTCCATGCAATGTTGTGTTGTTTGTTTATGATGACCTTCAGAGACATATTTAGAATACATAAAAATCAGAGGTGCTACTTAGCAGGAGAGCCATCACTTGCTAGACTGTCCGTAAAATGTCAAATCATATAAGAAGTGTCCAAATAAATCTTTCAGTTGTCAGTCTTTGAGTCCTTTGTTTAATTACATGTATAAATATATACATAAATTCATGTTTGCTTAACATCTTGGCCTACTAAAATCAAAGCAACGGTATCTTTGAAACATGGTTCAAATTTTTAGCATTTCAGAGAATGTGAGAAACACTTTATTTATAAATGCTGGGTGAAATGCAAAGTTGAACGCCTACAATAACATCAAACATAGTAAGTTTATTAAAAGCAGACTCTAATGGTTTTTCTTAGTATTTATTTTTCAGTGTTACACCCTTTTTTAAGATAATTTCTCGTTGCTAATCTTTCAGTAACTGATATTTAAGAATTTTTATTATATTTGCATCTTTTAATGTGTCTTGACAAATGAACAGATTGCACAATAACGGCACAACAACGCAACAACTTTTTTTTTTAAAGCAATTTAATCTTTCCTTGTTACACAATTTATACAAAATGTTTCATGCCAACTTTTAATGGGCTGCTCTACCAAAAACTCAGGAAACGTTAAAGGTTAAGTTTAAACCTGGGGCCAACTTGAAACAGAAAGTGCACCTGCCTACATTTGTAAAGCCTTACACACACACACATGCACACACACACACACACACCAAAGCCCCACCGCAAGATGTGGAACACAGCAGGAATGAGACCCGGTGAGGGGGAGCAGGAAAGGTGGGTGAGGATGTGGTGATTTTTATCTTCATACTTCTACACAAGTCAGATGTAGGTACAAAAAAAAAGTGACATATTCTCATTTTGTCTTTCTTAACATTCTGCACTGTGATATTTATAGTAATGAACTGCAGTAGAGTGCACATTAAAACTTGGTGTCATAGTGGCTTTCACTTTACGACCAAATTATGTAAGGTTTACATTAATTTTAGCTGATTGGTGTAGGTAAGGACATTTTTCTTCCACCTAATACCAATTGTTTAACATATAAAAACCCCTAAGTACACAAAGTTACTGTTGACATCATAGTTTGACATTATTACAACGTACACATATTATTATTGTCATTATTATTAATATTATTAACAGTAAAGCATGTCAAAGAGGCTATAATACTCCAAAAATGTATTCATGCAGTTTAAACATGTCATGATTTTAAAAATTAATCTTGTTCTAAATATCATATTGAACTAAAGTCAATATTTCACAGAGATCAAACCATAGTAGAACTGACATTGTGCATTAAAGATTCATGAATCATTTCCATGAATAGCCGCAACATAAAAGCAAAGAAATCATTTTTTACATCACCAAGTTAAACTAGGTTTTCTGTGTTACAGTGGCTGTGGTTTGGATCAGGTGTTGCTACTGCTATTTTCAGCTGCCGCTTTGGAGGAGGCACCGGATGTAGAGAGATAGTCCTTAAACATGCTCATCACCCGCTTCTTATATGTCTTTATGGCGAAGAAGTAGATGACGGGATCCAGGCAGCAATTGAAATTCATTAGCAAGACCGTAATCTGGAGAGCAGATTATGAGAGTGAGATATTAGAACTCATGTGAGGAGTGTATACATTGAACTAAACTACTGCTCTTACCTGCAAAGACATCTTGAAAGTTCTCAGTTCATCACAGGTTGGCTGGTGGTTTATTTTTCTGCACATGAACTGAATTATGTTGAGGTGGTAGGGGCTGAAACAGACGATAAAGGTGAGGAGGATGAGATGAATAATTGTGTTGGCCCTGTGGTTTCGTCTCGACCGGCCTGTCATGGAGTTCTTCTTGGCTGTGTCTCGCAGTTTCAGGTTGATCTTGGCGTAGCAGCCCATAATGATGGTCAGGGGACAGCAGAACGAGACAACACAGGCCAAAATCAGGAGATAAGGGGTGAAGCGTGATCCCTCAAAGTTGAAGTACTCCATGCAGGTACGTTTGCCCTCATGCAAATGAAGCATGTTGCGGAGCAACAGAGGAGCTGTCTCCAAAAACACCAGGGCCCAGACCAGACAGCAGACCTACGGACAACGTTTACACTGCGCAAACACTGCAGCCGGTGTGGATGCACCATGGCCAGGTATCTGTCCAAGCTGATGCAGGTCATGAAGCCAATACCTGTTGGAAATAAGACGAATGTTCAACACATTTTAAAAATGTATTCCATTTATCAGCTCATGCTATATGACTTTTATATCGCCATAGCTATTATTTCATTGTAAAGAGTTAAGATGCTTTCTTTTTTATACTAAAAATTTTGAATATTTCTCCTCTTTGGCCTTTTTCTTTGTCTTTTTCCTGGCAGCTACATTTCTAATAATCCTCTAACAATATACCCACTATCCCTCCTCTGCACATAACCACAATTGTGTTTTTATTTGTTACATTCAAAAGTTTGAACGAAAACATCTTGTGTTCTACAAGTAATTACCTGCATAAGTATTTGCAAAGAAGAGAAGTGTGGTCAGTCTGCACAGAAGGTCACCAAAGGGCCAGTCAAAGTGACGAATGTAGTACGTAATTCTGCCAGGCAGCGCCAGCGTGAACAGAGCATCAGACAGCGCGAGGTTGACCAAATAAATTGAGGTGGAGTTGAACTTTTGTTTCCTCTGGCAGATGACACAGAGAACCAAGCTGTTGCTGCAAACACTGATGATAAAAACCACAGAGTAGAAAATAGGGAAGAGGACCACTGCAGCTCTTTGGTAGACAAACACATCACAGCTGCTCTGGTTCGGAGAGGTCACTGTGGAGTCCATGGTGAAATTTACTGCTGCCATTCCCATCTAAAAAAATTCAGGGAAGTACTACAATTTAAATAATATGTTTTGAAATAAGACATGACAAATACACCAAGCACTATTCTATATTTCAAAATATAAAGTATGCAAACTACTTACAAAGACAAGAGCAGCCAAGTTAACAATGTAAATGCTGCTGCTGCTGTTGCTTGAGCCTTTTCCTGTGATGTGATGCTTGAATCACTTTTTTAAAGGTTGTATGAAGAGTTAAAATCCCACCTCTTCGTCATGTCATCATGTCTGTCAAGCTTTGACACATTTCATCCTCAGAGGTTTGTCGTTGCACTGAATCGAGCAAGCACACTTTGTTTAGAAGGTTTCAGGTTTTACTGTTGTAAACTTTATGTACAACAACAAAACAAACCTCAATGCAGATTCATATGTATATGGTTTATCATTTTATATATATATATATATATATATATATATATATATATAAAATTTTTTTTTCCCTTTTATTATTGTCACCTGCTGCACAGTGACTCTGTTGGAAGAGCTGTTGCCTCTCATCGAGAAGGTTGCCAGATGAAATCCCAGCTGGGGGCCTTTCTGGGTGGAGTTTGCATGTTTTCTCCATGCACGCATGGGTTTTCTCCGGGTACTCCGGTTTCCCCCCACAGACCAAAAACATGCATGTTAGGTTGATTGGTAACTCTAAATTGTCTGTAGGTGTGAGTGAGTGTCTCATTTGTCTCTATGAGTCCCTGTGATGGACTTGAGATCTGTCCAGGGTGTACCCCACCTCTTTCACAGTGACTACTGGATATGGGCACCAGTGATCCCCGCAACCCGTAAAGGAAGAAGCAGGTAAAGATGATGGATGGATGGATGGATGATTAATTAATGTTCACAGACTTACTTTCTATTTTAAATTCTTGATCTTGTTTTGTCAACTGGTTTACACAATAAAGAACCACAGGTATTTCCTGACAGCCTTGTCTTATCAGACCATTTATACAGTGCCTGGCGAAAGTATTTGGCCCCCTTGAACTTTTCAACCTTTTGCCACATTTCAGGCTTCCTCTCTCAAACCATTGTTCCTCTCCAACAAGGATGTGAACATCATTCCTGACAGAGACAGCTGGCCTAAGGGCGTCAGAAGCATCCGTAATGTGGGGGGTGACACAATGATGTGTGTAGGTGTGTGCGCGCAAAGAAGTGTACACTAATGTATAAAAAAAGCAGCATTTCACCTATATTTCCTTTAATTCCACTCATTTAAAGCATTTTTCTCATCAAGTTTGTGTAAATTCAGCTGTGGGTTTTAAAGACATTTTAACTTTAAGCACTTTGATAAGAGTCTATCTGTTTTAAATTGTGCTCTATAAATCAATATGACTTGACTTGACTTGACTTTAATACACTTTAATATAGAGCCTCAGATCAGCACTGTCTTTATAGACAAATTAAAAAAACATCACCACTGGACATTTTTACTTGTGTTCAACACTACTCATCTAAATGATGTTTCTAATGAAGCTTGAGGACAATAAGGTGTGGGGTTTTAAAGACATTTCAACTTTAATGCACCTCAACACACAGCGTTGTGGGATTCCTGTTTTCCCTCTGTCTGTTTGTGTCTGTTTGTCACTTTTCCCTCCACAGCTAATCACCCAACTCGTCACACCTGCCACCAATCTGAGGAGTACTGCTACTCACCTATTTAAGCAGCTGCCAGCCTCCTCTCCAGTGCTGGGACATCTTCTGACAATTGGACCTTCCACGGCCTGATTCATTCTGGTCCTCCTTAGGATTTCTTCTACCACTGGAACCCCTTCCTGTGGATTTTGATGTCCTGTCTCCAGCAACGACGTCCACCACTCTGTCTGGGTCAACCTCCTACTCTCTCCTGGATTCTTCTCACACCCAGGATCCCACTCTTTGCTCCTCCTCAACCATCTCCTGCAACAATAACAAGTAAGGATCAATTCTTGTTTTATCATCATCATCATCATCTACCAAGAGGATATATATTCACCGTCTCTCCCCTTCCCTTACAGCTGTTCGAGTTTTTATCTCCACCTGTAAATAAATATCACTTACCTTTTTACCTGCCTCGTGTCCTTGCTTCCTTGGTCTGCTACATTGGGGGTCGACGTTGTATAAACCTGATAGTATGTCCCAGCCAATGGACCCCCCAGGCAAGACTGAGGAAGTAAGGGCTCAGTTAGGGCCACAAGGAAACTTTGACAATCTCACTCTAACATTACAGCAGATTATTGCTCAACAGCAAACCACCCAAGACAACCTTCTGGAATTAGGAAGCATGGTGGCTTCACTACAGAAGGGGAGGACATCGCAGCTTCACTCCACCGAACCATTGGCTAAACCTGTTGGAGCTTCCCCCAGAGAACCAGACGTTCGACCTTCTGAGTTTTTTGAAGGTAATACACGAAAATGTGGGGGCTTTATTCTTCAGTGCGAACTTGCATTTAAAAGAGCCCCAGTTACCTACCACTCAGATTTTTCACGTATTACTTACATCATTAGCGCTCTGAAGAGCGAGGCACTACAATGGGCGCAAGCCTACCTCCGCCGACGCTCCGTCGAAAACTTGACGTATTCCATTTTCTTAAAGGACTTTCTCCAGGTGTTCGATCACCCTCTCCAACAGGAGGAAGCTGCCCAGAAACTATTTTCCTTACGTCAAGGGAAAGAGACGGTGGCGAAATTCTCAATACACTTCCGCATCCTCGCCGAAGAGTCCGGATGGGATGAGAGGGCGCTCTGCAGTGCGTTCATAAGGGCTCTTGACCGCCGGATTAAGGACAAGATGATTGCTGGTGAGATCCCTTCCCTCTTAAACGACGTTATTTCCCTAGCTATTCGCATCGATAACCGGGTTCGGGAGAGCTTGCTCGAAGCGGACTTCAACTCCCATGAGCCTTTCGCTTCCAGAAGCCCCGCCTTCACTACTCCCGAACTGGTTTCCGAAGAGGAGCCGATGCAGATCGGAAAGACCCGACTCTCTCAGGAGGAGCGACAGCGACGTCATGAGGCAAAAGCATGTATGTACTGTGGGGGACAAGGTCACACAATTAAGAGATGCAGGTTACGGGTAAAAGCCAACGCCTGCCAGTAAGTAAGGAGATACTGGTGGGCAATACTTCTTTTACTCCTAAAAACTTTACACTACCTGTTATTCTCTGTTTAACCTCTGAAAATCACCCTGTGCAGGCACTAGTCGACTCGGGCGCTGAACAGAGCCTTATCAGCAGGGACCTCGTGGAGGAATTACAGATTCCCACAACAAGGTTGGATCCACCCATATCTGTCACCGCTATCACTGGAA